ATCCCTTTCACCTAAATCTTATACACTGAACCTTTAAATCTCATATAGTTGGGGCGTGGTCCCTGCTTGTGAAAAATAACTTGAATTCACAATTTACTTTGACAAAACAAATACTGTGGCCGTCAACAGCAGCCGTCACCTAAACCAGTGCCTCTACATCCTGCAGTAAAGCTGGCAGCCAAGTCTCACAGCAATGCCCTGGAGTCATTCTGGATGAGAGAAGGAGGGAGGATAATAACAAGCTACAGTGCAGGAAGAAAAAAATGTCTGTGTCAGGAGAGAGTGCATTGTCATGCAGAGGCTGCAGCGCTATCTCCTCATGTGCCTTCCTGATGACTCAACACTAACATAACTACATAACCAGCACTTGGCTGCAAATAATCCCGCAGTGGCACGGCTGTATTTCTGAAACGACGTAAGATTGGGAGACCTCTCCCTGCTCTGCATTCTTCTGATCACACTGCATCACAGGTCAAATACAAAAGACGCACAAGCCTCTATGGCACGTTTATGCACAGCTTTGACTTTACACAGATTACAGTGCCAGCAATCTGTCCCACCACTGACTCTGATCAATTCATCAGATAGTGTTTGCATGCGTCTCCCTCTGGCCAGTAATCGCATCACAGATCCTCTTTGGTCCAGAAAATTTAGGTCAGCACATGTATTAAGCCCTGTGTCTGGGTGACTGAATGAACAGTGTTTGCCGTGGTTTTGTGGCTGCATTTGACATTTTTAAAGTGGTGTTTGAATTCTGCCATAAAGGGAATCCCATCAATCTTTTCTGATTTGTTTGTTGGATTTGATTTATTTTCTCAGAGAGTCGGAATATGACATAAACACACTCAGGCCTGATGTTGACGATGTGAGGGGGGGAGGATTCACAATATTTGCAAGATAAGAAAAGATAAGCCAGCAATGAGATGAATCGTCAGCATGAATCATTTGATTTGGAGCAAATAACAAAATGGAAAAATGTAAAAAAAAGAAAAAAGATAAAGCTTCCACACTGTGTAAATATTTTTTTAAGTTGATGTTGAGAGAATATGTGAATCAATAAGTGCTGCAATATTTCACTTTGTCCTGAATCAATATTATTTTGGACTTGATACCTTTAATGAGTCAACAGCTATATTATTGAATACAGTGCAGACAAGTCTTCAAGCAGTCTCTCGCTCATGCAGGACAGTTCGGCCTTTACCAAAAACATGCCCATGGTGCATCCAGCCCCTCACTGCGCCCTTTGTGCATCTATCCAAAATCGGACACTTTCACCTTGCTCTCCCTCCTGCATCTACTTTGTTTGCAGCGCAGCTTGCTTCATCAAACACTTATTTTCTCGTCTATAATTCCAGTCTGCAGCGCGTCGCATCAGTTCACCACCAATGACGACAGAGCGGCACCGGTAATTCACTGGTCTGCAATGCGGTACTCCGGTGCCCGCCCGGTCCATTTCTCCACCACGGAGCTCCACACGTCCCCGTTTTTACTTTCCTCTCCAGACACAAGAGCCACTTCGCTCCAGCACACGCTCTCATTAAGTTGTCGCTCTTACCTTTGCGGCACAATGAGGGGAGATTTCAATACGCTGTCCGCATGGCACACCAGCACCCGAACCGCATCGTCCTGCAGCAGCAGCCCGCCTCTACCCACCGGCTCTTTAACTTTTCCATTGGATGAGAGGGGATGAGCATCACCTCTGGGTGGCAGAGAGGCTGCGGCTGGCTGCGATTGGTCCATGAGAGAGGGAGGATGCGAAAATGCGAGCATCAAACCCCAACATCGTCGTCATGCTGCTCAAACTCGGATCCAGTGTCAGGGCCACGTTTAATACAAACAAATAAATATATGTACGAATAAAAAAATGTTTAAGCTGGTTTGGAGTAGACAATGTGCTTAACATGGATACGTTTTCAAAATATATTCAGTGATGTGTGACTTTAAGCTTTAGAGCTAACAGTAAACAAGGAATGAAACACCAAGAAACTTGGTGGGGATGGGTCGTTATATTTATGGATATTTTCATACATTTTCTAGAGAAAAATTCATGGTTCTTGATGATGAAAAAATATAAAATCCAGCATATATTGTGTGTGAAATTTGGTGCAGCATGATTGTATTTAATAGGACTGTTGGGCTTCGGTTAGGGCAATTCTAGTTTGTCGTGTTCCTAAATTTGTTCACACAAAGCTTAGTAATCCCATTGTGAAAACAGAATTTTAATCTTTTTTGTAAATTTATTTGTCTGTTTCATCATGAAACACGTGTGTACCGAAATCAGTGAAAGCAAACTCAGTGGCTGCATTTTAGGTGGCGCTGTTGAGCCATTTTGCCATGCCCATTTAAAATCACTCAAGAATAAATGAACTTTCACCACCTTTGAAATTTCTGCAAAATTGCATGAGCCCTGAAAAAGCCACCCACAGTGTCTAAAGAATAATAATAAGAATCGAGGCAAAAACAATGTACTTGGGCCCTAATGAGAATTTGGGTGGCCAAAGTTCAAAAACCCATTTTGCCTTGTTAATGCATTATAAGAACTCCTTGGGAGAAACCTGCACTGCTTGGTTATTTTAGTTTTTCTTATATTTTGTAAACATATATATTCATACGCACATTGTGTATGTGCATTTTTGTAATCTGTTTTGTTCTCATTTATTTTATCTTGTGTTAAGTGCATGATTTCTTGCTGCTGTAACAGGAATTTCCCAGGGTACATCGATCTAGATGAAAGACCAACAGACTGATACACTGATGGGAAGTTACAATGCTATCCCTGGAACTAAACCACTGATGTAGGTTAAATAAAATAAAAAGCATTTAAGAGTATTCAAAATTAACAATCATTTACAAAAACTTTTATTACTGTGGATACTAAGTCAGCACCATGACATGCATTACATGCGAGTTCCCCTCAATCAGTCCAAGCAAAGAAGCTACAATTTCTCTGCAACTTCTTCGGTCGGCATAGTCGGGTCAAACAGGTCTGGCAGGTTATGTTTCCAGGCCTTAACCCAGTTGTAAGTTCTTGGGTTCTTTGTTGGCTTTCACATCTTCAAAATTTTGAAGGTCTTTGCAAAACTCATGAATTTTGTTGTGGAGAATCAAAGTCTGACAGTCAATGCTCTTTTTAGCCTCTTCAAGTTGATTGTAGTGATGTTTCGAAACCTTTGCCTCTCTGATCTTAATCTCAAACTCCTCAATTTCCTTAGTGAGGCTGGTGATCTCGGTGTTAGTGGCAGCAGCATAATCTCGCATCTCATTCCTAGTTTTGAGGAAATATTCCAAAGTTGCAAATTCTTTCTCCTTCATAAATAATGTGCATTGGAGTTTGATATGCCTCTCGCTCATGGCCATATTCTCAGCTTTAACTGCTTCCAATGTGGGCTCTTCTCTTGTTGTCTCGTTTATTTCTTGGGTCAAAACCTGAATCTCTTGTTCGAGTTGAGTGTTGCTCAAATTGAGAGCACGCTGTCCGTCAAATGCCTTTCTGAGTTTCTTGTCAAGCTTGCCATTCAAGAGATTATTACGGAGGTCATTAACCATGTTGGACAGATTTTTATTTTCGCAGTGCAGGACTTTGTTTCCTTTTTTCAGGGATCTATATTTATCCACCTTAAGGTCATGAATAGCTTCTTGATATGTTAGCCTCCTAAGTTGAGTACGGAACGCATCGTTTCTTTCCAATAGGGTTACCCTATCAGCTTCAGCCTTCTTTTTTTTCTCCTCCAAGAGTATTTGATCCTGGAGTTTGGTGTAAAAACTGGCCAATTTATATTTCAGATCATTGTTCAAATCCATGTCTTTTTTTATGTCCGCTTTCAGCTGTTTATACTCTTTCTGCAAGTCCTCTATTTGGCTTTCCAACAGGACATGTTGATGTCCTTTGTTTAGTGCCATCTCTCTCGTCCTGCCCGTGAGCCCCAGGTGAGATTTATATTTATGCCACAAAATGATTGTTCTGTTTCTGTACTTGTTTATCCAACCGAACATTGTGAATATTGCTGTATACTGTGAACTTGATGTGATATAAGCTGTGCTTCTTCTTCTTCTTCTTAGTGTGGTTTATTGGCGGGTGGCAACTAACACCAAGGTTTAAAACCAGGTTGAATGTGTTTTGTTCGTTCTATTTGTTTGGTTTATGAGAAACTAGACACTGAAGCAAATTTTAGGCTCTCTGCCACCTCAAAGAATTGAACAAAGGAGACCAACTTCACAGGATCAAAGCAAGTGTCTTGACTGTAGTACTACTTTAAAGTAGTCTAAGGAGGTAATTGACACCATGTTTTTAGCCTAAAAAGTCCCTGATAGCTTCCTACGAGGTGCGTTTACGGACTGTCGGATGTGCTAACATCCGCTAGCTTAGCCACTTCCTGTGGACATTTAGGCTTAAAACAATATTATATACTATAGAACTCTGAAGCTACACCACAAAGATCTAAGGCATACAGATTTCTGAAATATTAGATGAAATGCATTAAATGGTCTACATTTTATGAATAATATAGTGAATAATAAGGGTTTATTATAATTTTCTGAGAAACTCCTGTTTTTTATATGCTCCTGAGGCCTAACTCAGGATTTCTTGCCATTAGTGAGTCCTCCTCAAACAGGTCTACTGTACTTTCACTTTTATTGTTTGTGTGCTGAGTTTTTTATAGTCTATGGTGTGGAGTGAATTTCAAAAACTTTGTGATCATCGCACCTGGTTTATTTGTAATGTGTTTTTCATTAAATGAAACTGAATGTTCTTTTTTTGTGTGGCTTATAAATAAATTCACCGGATGTTAGTTTTTTATACATTGCATGTTGGGTGTTTCAGAGGTCTCAATCTGACCCAGGCTCACAAATTACAAACTTAAAAAATATAAGCTCTGTTATACAGCATTGCAGCAACAAAGGGAACACTGTGCTTTTGCTAGGTAGTCAAACTGCTTATGAGATCTCTCTCATAGATGTATATCATCCTCATTTAACACATTAGGTGGAGATACAAGCAAGCATGTAGCACTGCTTGGATGGTCATAAAGGACAGGGCCCAGTTTGAAATCCTGAAACCAACATTTATTTTATTCTTTTTTTACTTCATTTAAAATACAAAATATTTTGCAATATTATACTGTAGAGTAAACCATTTTAACAGCCTTTCATGCTTATCATGTAGCTTCAACATTAACCAGAATGTCATATTATACCATATCATATACTGTATATCCTACTGCATGTTCAGTTCACACCCTGTGTCAATTATCTGTCCATGCTGGCTCAGAATGCTCCAAATTACACTTGTGTTTTTACTACACTCTTAACAAAGAATGTGTCAGTTTCAGGAGACGTCTAATTTAGGAACGACAGCTTACCAACAGGCTGTCATCACACACTGGATGTTGTCCTAAATTAGAAGCAGGAATTAGTTTCAAATGATAAATCCCATTTAAGTGTGTGCCTTTTTTTATATAAAAAAAAATACAGAAAAGGTGCATGAACAGTCAGAGACAGAAACGAGACAGGTGTCACGAGAGCTCAGTCACAAGTTAAATAATCTCCTTTTGATACCTGATAAGCTAAACAATGAGCAAATTTGAAAAAATAATTAATAAATAGTAAAATTTCACAGCAAATAAAAGAAAGAAAAAGAGTGAAAACTGTAAATGGTCTCATGTCACACAAAACCATTTTCACCCTCCCTAATGCATGAGGCCAAGCTCTCACTCACTCTGACCTCAACCCATCTATGCTCAATTCAAGCCGTTACTTACAGAATACAACAGAAATATCTACATGTGGAAAGCTGACACATTGCAACGCAAAAACTTGATGCAAGTTATGATAAAATTAAGACATGGAAAAAAAAGTTGTATCTCCTGTTGAATTGGCCCAGACTGCTCGTGTCAGAATTATTCATGGAATGAGAAATCAATAACATAATCACGCACGCTTTAACATAGTAGGATGCAAGTGCTGCTCTCCCCCCACACACACACCCAAACACACACACTTGCTCACCCAAACATTCACACACAAGCTTTGTTCTTTTACAGTAATATAAAACTCACTGAGTGCTGCGCTCGGATCGTGACGACATACACAGATATAAGGTTAAATGCATAAACCAAAGTCACCAGTGTGTCTACCATTTGAAGTAAAACAAGCAATATTTTCATTCACATAAACAGATACACTTGTTTCCACATTCAGTTATCACTACATAATTCTTCCGACCCCTTCGTCTCTAAGTGCAACCAGTAAGAGTGAGTCCCATTTTTTGTTTTTACAATAGTCTGTACCAGATAGTTGAGTCTGGTTCCCATTGGCAGTTACCTGGTGAGTGCGTTGGCAGTGGTTCAGTGCTGCTGAGCACAGCTGCACATCCTCCTTAAGGTGAATGGGTTTGGAGGAGAATGTTTGACATAAATGGGTGATGGCATCTCATTCGGTGTGTCTGTGATGTCACCTCAGACTCCCTGCATTTTAATACACCGCACATGTGCTCAGTCTCTAATTCTTCATTGTAACTGTGAGTTGGGCGCTTTGCAAATGGGCTGATGGATGCTGGCTAACATGATTGTCAACGAGACCATAACAATCTTAAGTTGAAAATTGTTCCTCACAAGTACCTGAAAACTGTGAAAAAAGATGATTTCAATAATCCTTCAATTCGATGAGTTTCAGCTCTGTTTAGAAACCCTGGATCCCATAATGAGACACAAAGAGGCTATAAATTGAATGTGCCCTTAAGGCTCATTTATGCTGCCTTTATGTAGAAAAAGAGTATTTCAAAGGATGTAGCCATCACTGCCCACTTAGGCCTGCTTCCATGCATCCTTTACGTTGGCATGGTTGTTGAAGCAATACAGCCACAAGAGGGCAGCGCAGAGGCAAGAGTTTCTGACAAGAAAAAATGGAAATGGTGGAGGAGGTTGCGATTATGTACCTCTCAAGAGTTAGTACCTGGGCCTTGGTGAAGTAGCATTGTGTAGACGCCTGTAGTTTCTTTCCCCAGTGCCCGTTAGATCTAAATCTGTCTTTTAGCTTGTCCTGTGTTATTGCCCCAGAGTCTACTTCAGAATTGTACCTTGTCATCACTGAGTCCTCCTCAAACAGTTCTACAATATACTGACAATTTTTTATAATGTGTGTGCTGGACGTTGTGTGCAGTTTTTTTTATTGACAGTCTACAGTGCAGAGTGAAGTTAGAAAACTTCACTCTGAAAACTGCAATTTTATAGTCAATGTTTTTCATAAAATAAAACTGAATTAGCTTCAATAATGTTCCCAATTCAAAATAAGTTTGAATGAATTACTCAACTACTATTTTTTTCATACATGTTGGCTATATCAGAAGTCCTTATAGCAAACGACATAAAGTTCACAACTTTTAAAAATAAAAGCTCAATAATTCTCCTCAGTATAAAGCATTGCAGCAACAAAACGAACGTTGTGCTTTTGCTTTATTAACAAATTGCCAAAGAGGAAATGATTCAGTGAATGCTGTTGCCATGATGGAGATCAACACCTGTCGTGGGTCCACTCGTCTGTGTCTCAGTCTGCTCTGGTGAAATAAAAGAATCAAATTATCAAAATGACCTGGTGGGACAGACCTCATTGGCCGCAGGCCGCCAGTTGCCGGCTACTGTAGCTTATCCAAGGACGTGGAAAAAGACATGTTCAACCTGGTCTAAAGACTGAAGGCATGCTACCCTGTCTCACTGACAGCAATTTACAATAGACATGCTCAATGCAAAGCCAATATGTGTTCCATATACAGACAGATCTTTGTGAAATTAGTACATTTCTTCCTAATGTCCTATGGTCGTCTCGCTTGAACTATTGGCTACAACCCCTCACAATTTCTGGTGTTACGGCTCCAATTTGTCTGTTTTGTCTGTCTTCATAAGATTTCAGAAGACGTGCACAAATATGGACAAAATTAACGTTGAATAGAAAGCTCCATCTGTATCTTTATCTAACGTCAGCATAAATGAACCTTAATAATGAAACTCTCCAATATCACCAAAATCCTGTGGAGCTTGTTTTCCGTGAATGCTTTGAATACTCACGCAGCCTCTGCAACCGCCATTTAAGTATAGTGGGATGGTATTTTTCTGTGTTGCGTTCATGGACTGTGCAAGAAGAGGTGTGTAGCTATGGATCTAAGTCACTGTTCTCTACAAAGGCACTAGAAACCATGCTAACAGGTTCTTGATCATCAACATCTAAATACTTGGAAACTACCATGTGTACTCTCAGTGAACCTCTACATGCAATTCGCTTTTCTCTCTTTTCTGCCAGTGCATGTAACAGAAACAGGAGAAGAGATGCTATCAGAGATTGCTGGGATAGCAGTTTTGGACAGTACCATGATTGCCTTAAACACAGGCTTACACAGTGTCCAGGATGAAAAAAAACATGAGGATAAAAAAGTTCAAATCAGTGTGAGAGTTGTGGTTGGCTGGTGTGAGGAGTGACCCAACAACTGAGTTCAAAGTGTTTCTAAACAGGTTTCCAATGACTGCAAATGGACATCCCTGACCTCGAAATATAACATTTTTTCTTATTCAATTACATATGTACAAACAGTTCATCCATCTCAAAAAGACATTCTAGCTTCTACTATGAGTTGCAGTGTCCACAAAGACACCGCTGCTAATCATTTTCTGTATATCAGATGCCATTTAACACAAATAAAATCCTGTCACGAGGAGGTGTGCACCATCAACTGTATATTATGCATCTCCCTTCCTCCCACAATCCAGAAATGAAGCTAAAATATCTAGATATCTCGATTTGCAATCAGGGAATGGAGCTGTGGTAGCAAGGTCCCACTGAAACACACGCTCGACCAATTACGAGTCAGTCTCAGCTCTCAATCTTGATGTTTCTCCCTGTATTTATAGCATAAAATAACTAATTAAAACAAAACTTACTGGCAAAATGAACACTTGGACAAACATGTCTGAAGTGACAGATTCACCTTTGAGAAAAATTTATTTGATGTTTACTTCAAATTTTTTGTTTTGCTCATGTCCCATCCACTAACGTGGAGGAGGTGGGGTTTATGACATATACTGCAGCCAGTCACCAGATGGCGATTGAGACACTTTGGCTTCACTTTAGGCGAGCAGTCATGCCGTTCATCTTTATATACAGTCAACAAGTGCATCAAGTGACAGGATGAGGATAAAATGCTGCCATGCAGATGTTTGTGAATGTGAGTCAATGCATATTCTCCTGTCTGTGGGAATTTGATTAAATATATATTTGGATTTATCAAGTTAAGTGTGTTTGAAAAGGAGATTAAATGGCACTAACACACACACACTGCCAAACCCCTGCTCAGTCTGAGTGGTAATGCTCCTTCTTGTACATTCCTTCTGCTCTTCCTTATTGCTTCCTCTCCCCCCCCCACCCCTCTTTTCCTCACATCCCTCGCTTCATGCCGTCCTCCAGTGGTCATGGGGGATGTGTGGTTGGTCTCTGCTGAGTGTGTGTTGATCGGAGGATGTCCCAGTGTGACAGGGGTTGTTGGCAGGTGTGGAGATGAGGGCGCGTCAGCATGGTAAAAAACGTCCACCGCGACCGTCACCTTAGCAACTGTCACCATAGAGATGGTCACATTTGCCAGGGTGACAAGAAGCAGCAGCAGCAACTGTCGCAATCGGGAGGTGGCCCCTCCCTTAGACAAACGAGTTCATGGCATTGACGGGCGAAGGTGCCTCTGAGCTCTCGTTGCCTTCGTGCGTGTCTTTCTCTTTCTTGCCACTGTATTGGCCGATGAAGGAGCCGTCCTCATTGAACTGTCCGTCCCCGCCCTCCCCATAGTCCACCAGGCTGTCGTCGCTCTCGTCACGGCGCACCGTCCCATTGGACGGTGTCCGGCTGCCCTTCAGCGGCTTGTGGTCCTCTGTGTCACTGTAGAAAGGGAGGAAAGGTTGGAGTGAAGGTTGTTGAGAAAATAATTCATGGTGTTTGTTCTGCAGTGGTCAGAAACCTCTTCCACCCTGTCCATGCCAATGCAGATATTTTAGCAAACATATTCGTTCCTCTACTATTTGACGGATCGTCCACTTAGACTTTATTGCCATCTCCTGGCCTGGCATGCTTGTTTGAGCATTTTTAGTCATTTGTGTGTTCTCATGTGGACAGAGAGGAAAATATGCGTTTAAAAAAAATGTCTGCAGTAGTTTAGACAAGGCCTCCTTTAAGCATTAGCAATTTGGCTTTCCACTGAACAACTGTAGGCTGCCACACATACTGTCCCAAGCGAAGAGCTAGTAGTATGTTTTACGACGTCTTTTGCAGACAGTTTAGTTTTGCTCAGGTGCAATGCAAATGTGCAAAAATTTACACAAGTACTCACTGTTCCCTCTGTAAATGGAAGGTTTCTCATGAGGCAAAATGACAAAGATTAGCCGGGCAGATTATACCTCATGCTGGTGTACAGTGGAGCAGCTCAGCTACACAACCTGTGTGTATGATCTACAGTGTTAGTGCTGTAGTTTTGAAAGCCTTGGTGCTGAGGTTGAGAGATTCAGGGTTAGTGACCACTGCTCAAGACATTTTGCAAACATGTGCCGTTCAGTCCTTTGCAGTACTACACTTGCTTTAAGTTTACATGCAGTCATCAAAAATGCAACTGGAACCATTTCAATCCTGTTTTACTCATCTACTCAGTACTCCAGTATGCAAGCTCAACAAGTCAGGATCATACAGCACAGTTCAACTCTGCATTTTAAATAATCCTATTTAAAGTGATGAAGTTATTTAAGAGATTAAATGAGGGAAGCAGGGGGGGTTGTTATCAAATGTAATTTATTTGTTTTAATGATGATAACATGATGACACAGTAAACCAGATATGCTGATGTGCTCACTCCTTGCTTTAAAGGCACAACAAGATGTTCTAATTCGTTCTTCCTGACCACCAGAAGGTGGTGCTTTTGCATACGAGTAGTTATACCAGCAAAGTCACTTGTGACTATATGGTGATGTGTGCCGTACGGCCCAGTATATATTCCCATCTGTCAGCAGTCAGTCCACCAGGTTTATCCAAGGGGCCGGAGGTAGCAACTGAGCATCTGTGTTTGCTATGGAGCCAGTAAGACAGGTGAACCTTTGTCAAAACAGATGTGCGCACCCTGTCACCATATGGTCACAGGTGACTTTGTTGGTACACTACTCGACCTGCATGAATGCGAGACGGAGATATCGAGTGCAAAAGCACCGCTGTCTGGCAGCCATCCAGAATTCATAGAACCGTAGTTACATTCGTATCTCTCGTTTCATTAGGTTACGTGAATAGCATGCTTGTTTTACCGCATCTCGTCTTACCTCTCCATTGACCTAAACCCCAAAAAACACAAAAGATAAAAATGGAGGGACACATGAAAAGCAATTCATGAGCCAAAAAGCTTTTCATAGACACTGACAATGAGTGAACTATTATTATATGTGGCACAACATGCATACAGAGACATTAATAGCACAATGAAATTCATATTAATGAGAGCCCGACCAATATAGATTTTTGGGTGCTGACGCCAATACAGAAAAAAATAACGATATATTGCCAATATATAAAAATTGGTAATGATTCATAAGGAAGCTATAAACAAACAAGATACACATACAACAAAATATATAGAACTTGAATTAAGAAAATACTTTTATTTAAAAAGGAAACATAAATGTACATGTTTTCTGAATTTTCACCTCTGCCAAGGACGTTATGTTTTCACCCCGTATGTTTGCAGTTTGTGAGCAAGATTACGCAAACACCACTGGACGGATTACCACAAAATTGAGTAGGATGTGGTATGCGTCGGGGAAGAACTCATGCTGCAGATTGTTTTTTTAACTTTCTTCAAAATTGCAAGATAGTGTGTTATTCAGTATTTTCTTTGACTTCTCATGGATCTTGATGAAAAAAATGTTTAGCTGATTGATGTGTGTGTGTGTAATTTGGTGCAGATCCAAATAAACTGTTGGGCCTTGGAAGAGGCTTGGCCGGGCTCTAATATTAATAGCTCAAAAAATATATAAAAATAAAAATACACCACAGCAATTGAACTATTCAAATGTGATGAAATGTGAATATAAATGGAAGTTTCCTTCCACCTGTTTTAAGTTAGGATAGAGTTAAAGGGATGCGATTACTTGTTATATTTGACATATATATTTATATTTTTCATTAGATTGGCTTGTTTACAATGTGAGTTGGTGATTATTAAGGATCAGCACAGAATGGTGTGGATTTGGCCTTGCCTCTATGGAGTGTTTGGTAATGGAGTCGGGTGGAGACAGTGTCTCTGCAGCCTCGTCAATTGTTCTACAAACAGTCACGTCAGGACACAATGAATGAAGGAAAAGGACAAATAATCTCACTGAGGAATGAAGCTTGGCACAAGTTCAATCAGGAGGACTCTCTCTGTGACCCATTCACCATTTCATTTGGTGGATGTGGTGTTGCCAAATCAGCAGTGCATGCATATAAACCTCACTGTATCAAAAAGGCAGTGCACACGATGGATTTGAAAGTTGGCAGTTGCTGCTGCAGTTGGTGTTTGTATCAACTGAAGATGTAAGAAGACATTTACAATCAGTTTATTTAATAAAATAAGCTTTATCTCAACTAATTTCTTTGCAAAGACAGACTTAAGTTAATTACACATGTTTTAAGCTTGTCATCAAGGTTTCTTTCACAGATATATTGAGAATAGCCTTCTCAGCTGCCATAGTTGCAACGATTGCGTATCAGGGTGGTGAATGCAACACTGTTTACATTTGTTATAAGACACAAGACCTCACCCTCTTTCAACCACGTGGACATCACGAGTGGTCTAAGCGCCAAATAGACAATTTTAAATCATTACTTCTCTCAAATCTCTCCTGATTGAACTCTATCCTTTAAGCCATTTGTTGGGCCTTCTCAAAAGAAGAATGCTGTTTTTTTTCTCTTTTTTCTCTCACCTGTATTCTCCAAATGTCCCATCGTCCTCTTTCATAGGTTGTATCTCAGGGTCTTGGTGAGCATCTTCTTTTTCTTTCACTGTAAATAACAGTTTATTTTCTTTTTCTTCTCACACATCCAGGTCAGAAAAGCCTTGAAATTACAGTTTATACTAATATGTGCATTACCTGGATATTTGCCACCTTTGTTCCTCTTGATGAAGCACACTATGAGGAGGACCAAGATGAGGAGAGCGATAGCACACATGAGTCCAATAAACCAGCCCTGGGTGGCGATGTCGACCTGTCGGCTGGGCACGGCTGCACGGGAACGAAAAGAGACCAACAGGGTGAGCTCAACTGCCAGGTCAAATTTAAATCCAGGCTGGTTAAGTGGTGGAGTATGTTTTCTTCATGCTGAGATTAACAGAGGCTGTAAACACTGAAATGGAATTTTAAAATGGGTTAATCTGCGATGATCGATCAGGCACTGAAAAAACATGGCAAAAAAGAGAAAAAGAAAAGGCACGACAGTAAAATGAGTGGACTTTTTAGCAATGACTTTAAGCGACATGCATCACAACTTGATGCCACCTTTCACACGCTGTATAGGAAACTATACAACCATACATTCATGCCCTAATTTATCATTGTGATGACACTCAGGCAAAAAAAAAAAAAATTAAACACAAAGACGATCCATCCTGAGGCATGCCGCCTCACCTGGAACCGTAACCAACACTTCGTCTGTGCTGTGGACCGTCGGGTCAGCCGGGTCTCTAGCGACCACACGCACTCTATAGGACGTCCCTGGCTTCAAACCTTTTATCATATGAGAGTGTGAACTGTTTACCAACTCCTTTTTCCAGTCCTCTTTACCTAGAAGTGGAGTTGTGGAATGGGAAAAGTGAGATTCAAGGAAAAAGGAACATATTATTTGAATCACGATAATCTGACTGGTAATTTTGAAGGTAATTTAGAATTTTAAATCATTGTTACCTCAGCCAAGGAGGTTATGTTTTTGCCCCTGACAATTTGTTTGATTTTCAGCAGGATTATGCAAAAACTGCTGAACAGATAGCCAAGAAACTTTAAGAATGGAATATGGGTCACGAAAGAAGTGTTATTTTGGGCTGGATCCAAACAAAGAGGCGGATACCGGATTGTCAATTTTTTATTTATCACCTTCTTTAATTTTGCAACATAGGGAATCTTTTGACATCACAAATTTCAAAGGGAATCATTTCTGTATCTTGTTGAAATAATTTAGGCATGCTTAGGAGGCTGATATTTATGAGTGTGGATTATTTGGTCGATGCAGTGAATTTATATACGGTTTCATAAAGCGACTGTTGGGCCTTGGCGGAGGTAATGTACTCTTCTAATCTAAGATAAGGCATAAATGTGGAGACTGTAAATACAAAGTGAAGCCTTACTGTTTTCTACAATATATTCCACAAATACATTCTTATGGTGTCCAAAGTATTCCCAACTGATCGCCGCACCATCCTCCGATACAGACGTGTTAACAGTGCCAAACGCAGGGCCTACAGGAGGCGCTGAGCACACAAGAGAGAAAGGAAATGCATTTGTTCCAAAATCAAATTGCACCAATTAATTAAGTCATCGATTTTTCAACTTGTGAAAATACTAATGTGAAATATAACCTTTCCAACATTGCTGGAGAACCAAAATATGTCAAATTAGAAATCTATAATTTTAGTGTTTAGTTTAAAATTGACTTCAAAAAATAATGCCTGGAAACCAATTTAAATAAGCTGTAATACATATTTCCCACAATGCAACAGGGAGTATAGTTTGTTACTCAAGAACTCTTAAAGCCTTAGGGCACTTTCACACCTATCTTTTCTGGTCTTATTTAAAACCAAAATAACATGTTTGAGAGGTGCTTTGCATCATGGTCCGGAACAACGGACCAAACTTTAGTCCGACCAAAAGAGGTGCTCTCACACTTTTCAGGTGTGAAAATGCCCTGAGATCTTGCCATAACATATAACAGGTAAGTAAAAAAGTATAGTTGCAACAAAAATGTCCATCTCGGCAAATACTTCAATATCACCTTTATTAAAGCCAGTTCCAGAGTGACACGGAAGTTTGTATTATTTTGACAATTTCTTTCTGTTTCTCTTTCTTATGAAACATTTGCTGAGGTGGATCATTTTTGCAGCACTTAGCTCGTAGGCTGAAATCTAAGGAGGCGCAGTAGTTGCTTGTACCCTTGTGAAACGGGGGAGGCAGAGACTGAGTGATGGGGGAAGTTGGGTGAGGGGGCTCTGTGGGGCCTGAAAAGAACATGGAAAAGAGTGAGACAGGATGCGTACACACCAACATTAGCCAACACAAAGACAAGAACAGAAGAGCTGTTGTTGACATAGACATGTGCTGTCGACATGCTAGGTTTAAAACACAATTGTAGCTGGGCCCCAAAAAAATAAATCAAATCACTGCAGCATGCTTATTATTTGGTTCAAATCAAAGTCTGCTTTCATCTATATGCACAATTCATCAGTTTATAACATTCCATGGTAAATAAAATGTGTCAGTTCCACATAAATGCATTCACAAGCATCATGGTAGGGTCTAATAAAAACAGCTAATTCTAATGCACAAGCATCCTAAATTTTTTCCTATGCTACAGCCTATTCCATCTGAATAGGACACAAGCTTAGCTGCTTGCAAATGCCATGGAAGTCTAATCATAGGGAGTGTGCAAACATGCTTACACGTAACATGCAGTAAGATAAATGCTAGTATCTATAACAGGCTAGTCATATATGATGTAAACATATAATTAGCATGCAGGGTCTTCCAGTGTCAAACTTGGGTTACCTTTGCCCTTGTCTACAGGGGGCTGAGTATGAGCTTCAGAGAAAAGAGAAAGAGATAGAGGGGTTGTAAGGTTGAGTGAGTCCTTCATATATTTCAGGGCACTGTCATTCTCACCACTGCACTCCGTCTTAAAGTTGCTGATTTTATGACTTTGACCTTTTCTTCCTATAGACCATATTCACACGGCTTCCATTTTCCTCATGGTGGTAAGGTTGGGAATCTCGAATGCTTCTATAAGCAGAATAATGCCATACTGCTATGATCCAAGTTTAGAAACCCAGACCTCTAACCATGTTTCAAGGTGAAACAACATTTGACAGCTCAAAGCTTACAGCTAACTTGGCCACCATTTATGGTATATTGCGCTTGTAGTTTGCTGCGCATGAATGCTTTAACTGTATGTTTATGTACACAGGACTCACCTGTGTCCATGACTGTGAATGCTTCTTCTGTGATGATGGGGCCAGAACCTTTGATTGTCTTTGCACTTAAGTAAAACTTGTAGAGCATGCTGGAGTTCAGGTTGCTCAGGGTGATCGTGGTCTCGTTGGCCATGAGCGTCATGACCTTGACTGGTCCCAGTTCATTGGTGGTGTTGACTGCAGAGACAGAATTAGGAATGAACAATATTTCTTTTTCTTTTTAAGAAACTGTGCATTATACTGTTGCAGTGTACAGGTTGTGCGTTTGCAGTTACTTAAACTACCTGGTTGGTACTTTAGTGTATATCCAGCAAGGCGTCCGTTATTGTTCATTGGTGGGCCCCACTCCAGGGTGAGAGAGTCCAGACTGGGGTTGAGGACTTTCAGAAAAGAAGGAGGACCTGGGACTGAAAATCAAAAACCAGAGCCAAGTCAGGGTGTGTTTCCAAAAGGACCATTCATAAGAAGTCGTTAAAGCTGCTTTCACATATGCACTGAAGTTTAGACATTTTCTTGAATTTTTCCAGAGGAGCTGCAAGAGAGAGCACAAATGCCTGAGTCAGTTGCTCTGGGCATTTTCCAGAACTTTTCCTGACAGGCCTTCAAGAAAAATGTCTGGAATAACATTTGGACATTATCAGAGTGAATCCATGTGAGAATACAGTGAGCAAGTGGGCCTGGAATGTATAGGTGATGTCATAACTGCTTCAAGTTTTTGGTCTTAAATATTTAATGCATTTTTATGTATGATCTGCTTGGTGTGTTCACAATGAATCAGACTTCAGTTTATTTATCTCAATTAGGTATGTGCATAGTTGACTAAAATTATTATAGATGCTTTAAAATATTTTCTTGAAGGTAATCACTTTGTATTAAAACAAATTCTGCTTTCTCTCATATTTTCTGAAACTTTCCCAAAACAGATGGGAAGACAAGAAAACCATCAATCCACCAACCATGTCAGTCAACTCCAGACATACACACCTCCCTCGGGTGTCTCAAACGTCTTGCTGGGGCTCTGTGGCCCCTCTCCTTTGCTATTAATGACCCTGATGAAGAGTTTGTAGAGGCTGTAAGGCTGCAGGCCTGGCAGACGCCCCTCACTACGGTTCCCGCTGAACGTCAAAACCTGCTCCTCCTCATCCATCATCTTCTCTGTCTCATGCAAGCCACGCTCGCGATGATAGTACACCTGAGAGTGGACACAGGGTTGTGTTGACACGCTGACAGGTTTTATCTCAAAAACATGGTAACACACAGAAGCAGGCTCACTCAATTCAAGCTTGAATTGAGTGAGCCTGATATTTTCATGACAATATGACAGGAAAATAGAAAGTATATAAAGATGGAACATATGACAGTGTGGCTGGCTGTAGTACAAGTTGTAAACCCAACCTTCTGGTACCAATAGAGGAACCATTCATGTCCTATTGAGCTCAGATAGTTAAACTTAATCCCATATCGCATTGTTTAGGTCCACATTTTTCACTTGGGTGTTTGCTAGATCTGAGCCACAAGTAGGCCATAGCAATACCACATATCATCCTGTGTAATCTTATTTCTTCTTCACAACTTCTGGACAAGCACAGATCACTTTAAACTCAGATAGTATTTTAAATAAAATTGTTTCCACAATGAGGCTAAAACTTTGGGTTAAACTTAATTATAAATGATTTCCCTCTGAATTTCCTCTTATTTTTCTTTTTATGACTAATTATCTTCAGTTGCTAGTTTAAGTATCCTCAGGGACCAGGCTTTTCAGAGGAGATAATATTTTGACTGGAAAATTAGGTCACATTGATTTAAAAATTGTTTTTGCACAAAACTCCCTGAAAATAAAACTGATTCATTGGATTAAACCTGGTTTAACTTAATCTTGCTTGATGACACACACACACACACACCCACACACACCCACCCACCCACAAATACACACACAATGAACTGAACACCCCAACTTCCAACATGCTTCAATCAGCACAGATTTTACAGAGTAGATGCCAACACTGCCTATTTATACTCACCTGCAAAATGGCTGCCTCTTTAGCAATTAGCCAATGAGGAGTTGACACATATGTGGCCAACCCCTCTGGAAGCTCTATTAATTGGACAGACATGCCAAAGTAAAGCACTCTTTGTTTTTAAATCTTCCTTTTTAATGAAATCTATGCATTGGCTCCTCCAGTCTGTTGAATTACAACATTCTTTTGTTGTTTTAATTTCCTTGCATAGTTTCGCTGTAAATTGTTGGTTGTAGTTAGAGTTTGTGTTGTTACCTTACGCCTTGAACTTTTATTTTGATAATCCCAGGAAGCTGGCCTCCATGTGTCTACTCCTTATTGGATAATTGCCAAAAGTGGCAGCCATTTTGTGGGGGGTATATAAAGCCAGTGCAAGCACTCACTCTGATGGGGGGACATGTGCTTGCAGGGGAGAATGTTTAGTTCAGATGTTTATGCTGTTTATGCTGTTTGCTTGCATTTTACTGTGTGGTTACAAAAGCTGGAACATGAAAGGGTGTCAACAACAGGACACACTTAAATCAAACAATACCTTGTATCCCTGTAGTTTCCCTCTTACTGAAGGGAAAGACACAGGCTCCCAATGCACTTCTGCTAGTGTGCTGTTATGAACCATGACCTGAACACTCTCAGGAGCAGACAGCGGCACTGCAAAAAAGGAAGAAACAGAAAAAGTTTAAGCTAGTAATGGCAATACTACATTTGTCTTAATGACAAAATCTTACAGTAATCATAAAGTGATCAAACAAAATGCACCTCTGTAAAAGCTACTGCTGAAGTTCATTAAAATGTTTAGACGACTAAAAAGGACTTGATTCAAATGTTGGTTTAAAATCTGAATCTTTCCATCAGCTTTCCACTCGCTACATGATTTTTTTAACTAATTACTTTGACCAACGATCTCTGTGTTTTAAAGGAGACAAGAAAAGTAATAACTGTCCCACTCACAGTCTTCTCCTGAGTGCCCAATGAACACTTCGGGCTCAGGTCCGCTGCCGTAATCGTTCATGGCTTGAACTTTAATTTCAAATGGCACAAATGTTGGGATTCCTGTCACAACAAAATGTGAGACGTTGGCCACGTTCTTCGACAACCAGTCCCCGTCCATGTCCTTCTGTCTCCACAGCACTTTGTACTCCAAACCAGGACCATTGGACTGGAACCCAGTCAGTGGCTGCACAGAGAAAGTTTCTATTAATCTGTTAGCTGGAATATTAAACTGTAATGAGACTAAACAAGAACGGAAAATACCCCAACCACAATATGGATAAACACGATTCCTTACAGAACGAATAAATGTGCAGGACACAGAGGTACAAGATTGTTGGTGGCATGTGGCTACCAGCATATTCCAGCTAAATACAAAGATGTCTTACTGTCCAGGAGATGACCAGGTTATCAGACTCTGTTCCCACTCCCCGAACATCTGATGGATTTTCATCAGGAGCTGTAAAAACCAAAAAATTAAGAATGAAGCTCAATCTGACTATTTATTGAAATACCAAGATGGTCACATTCACTTACCTGCAGGGTTGGTCCTATATTGGCGCGAGGGCTGGCTGGGGCTGCTGTAGCCCACAGGATTCTGAGCCAACACTCTAAAAGAGTAGTAGACGAACGGGGAAAGGTTTAACTGGGCTGTTGTGCTGGTGCCCCCAACGTCGGTCAGGTTGATCCACAGTCCCGGCTGGTGAAGCAGATCCTCGTATTGGATCAAAAACTCTGAAGAAGATGAGGAAAGTTTGAAGAGTTAAAATAATTTGTTGGAAGATTGCGTTGCCTAAAACAAACTGGACAAACCAGACACACTTTCTGATTACTTCCATGGGTTAAATCAATGTTTGAGTTTATTTGGCCATCATATATGGCTCATTATGCCAACTACCATTGACATCCATTTGTCCAGTTTTGAGTTTGGCGATGGGCAAATGTTGTATTTTGAAAGGGCTGCAGTGACCATGAACATTTCCTACTCTCTGTGGGACTGTTGTGATCGTCTCCAGGGATCCAGCTGAGTTGAACACTCCTGTCCGTCTGGTCGGTCAGTTCCAGGTCGGTCGGAGGGTCGGGTTTTTCTGCAAACACAATGAGACTGTCAGGACCAAAAAGAACTGAAATTCTCTTGCCTGTTACATCTATTTTCACAGAAAGTCAAGCACTTAACTTTTCTCAGGACCTTTCCTTGTCCAATAAAACACATTACATGAGATGTTGAGAAATTCACTGATGCAAACTGTAACCTTTGACCTCTGGATAAAGTAAGACAGTAGGGACATACTTTCTTGAAAGGAAAGCTATTATTTTTACACCTTTTTAATATTCATTGACAAAAGGTAAAGTTGGTGCTATTGGTCAAATTAGGATTTATTTTTGTAAACTCTCATAAACATTGCCAGTTTGTGCCTTTCCCTACATTTTGGTTGATTCCTCAGATTAATTCATGGACTTGATGGGGGGGCATGTTGAGGGATTGATATAAAAATGTGTGTAATCTGGTGTGGATCCAAATAAAATAAAAATCTGAAACTAGTGAACTTAAATATGGTTTCCGGTGCGTTACGTTTATGTAATGTAGATACAGAGAAACTGCACTGGTTGGCATTCAACCGCAGTGCAGTAACTAGTTTCCTTCTTTTTAAGTGTCCTAGTCATGTTAATTTAATAATTATGTTCATTTAAGAATATTTAAATGAAAACACACAGCAGGGAGTATGTGGAGTGTTAATAGAAAAAGCTGTCATCACTTGTGGCCGGTTAGACTCAGAGCTTGTGTGAGCTGGTGGCCAATCAGGCTGAGTGCTAATCAGGGAGGTCGAGTGGAAGCACCTGTGAGTGCGTGCACCCTTGGCCCTGCAGAAACTGTGAAACCACACTTTTAACATTCAATGAACAAACTACAGAGAGCAGGCAGGAAGGATAGAAAAGAAATGAAATGGAAGCTACAGGTTTCACAAACAGAATTTAAGACTGAAGACGAGGGCAGAAAAAAAAGCTGCTTTTTTTTTTACCGTAGACAATAGCCGGAGTGGGCGTTGCCTCTGTGCGAGCCAGAAGCAAGAGTAAAGATCAAGAAGAGGATTGTACGTTAGTGACAGACATTTCAGACAAACAGCAGAAAAGCAGGAAAATCCATAGAGCTGTGAGTCTGAGATTAAAATATGAAAGAAGCCCATTTTTTCTAAGTGACAACACTATGTTGAGGAAAAGAAGGAGCAGAAAGAGATTTTCAGGACGGGAGAAAAGGACTCCTTAGTTTGAAATAAAAAACTAGATGAAATTTACGTCACTTGTATGATTTCTATGTCCACCGTGTTCAATCAACATGCAAAATCCACTTGGAATAGTTAGCGTGTTAACCTACCGACAACAGTCAGCATGGCACTGGCAGAGTCATGGTCCAGGGTCGTGTTCATGATGCAGGTGTAGGTCCCCTCGTCTTCATCAGTCACATGTTTGATGGTCAGACTATCTGTGTCCACCTCAAACCTAAAACAGCATTACAGCAAGTAAGATTATTATCAAGATCACCAGCAGGAGGTTATAGTTTGGTTTAGTTAATCTGATTTTAAAATGTTTTCTTTGGCCAAACCAGACCAGTTTTTAAGCTAACATCGCTTATAAACCAATTCACAGAATTTATGAGTCAGCGGTAAAAGTAGCTTCCAATGAAAAAGGAACTTCTAGGACCTTCATAGGTGTGTTTTGTCCAACATGTAATAAACCAATCTAATATCCCTGTCCAACTTCTTTCAAAAGCCAGATGAGCTTGCACCTCGGTAGATTGCTTTTTATAATCGTGGTTAGCAATGCACCTGATCATGTTTCATTTTAAAACCAACATGCCCATGGTCACTTACATGGGCATTTGCACTTTAAACAACGTGGTACGTGTACAAGGAAATGACAGTCAGTCTGAAACTAGCAAAGACATAGGCTGAATGTAAAATATCTGAAGGTGTTTATTACCTCTCGTCATCTGGCAGTTCTCCACTGTCTTTGAGCCAAGTCATGGTGGGAACGAGGGAGGGGTCGTGTTTGACTTTACACTCGAACACAGCACTCATTCCTCTCTGCACCACCTTGTACTCTGGCTGCTTCAGGATACGAGTTGACTCTGGGGGTAGGAAGAGTATAAAGACAACAGCTTGACCACATACTTACTCTGGGCTATATGGACCAAACATCTCTTCTCTTTATAGGCTTCATTAGAACTTTTACCAAGCTAAGAGTTGAACTGTATATCTCATTATCTGAAATGCAATTGGTCCTTATCTGACCTTTAACCTCCAGGAAAACGTGGTTCTCCTTGATCCCCAAGTTGTTGGTGGCAATGCAGGTGTACTTCCCGCTGTTTAGCGACTGGGCCACGTGGATCTCCAGTGTGCCGTTCTCATGGATCACATATAGGTCGCCATTTTTTATGCTGATCTGACTGTCTTTGAACCTGAGTGGAAAACGAAAAATGAGACGGACCATGTAAAGAAATGTACATTGTTACATTTTCTGCACCCTGCTGGTTGAGCTGTCACATTACTGGTAGCTTTTTGGCATCGTAACAACATGGTTTTAGGAAAGCTTCAGAGTCACGGACGAGCCATGGTCTGTCTTACCATGTGATGGTTGGTATTGGTGAGCCAAAGGAGGAACAGTGAAGCAGTGCAGGGTTGTTGGTGATGACCTGGTACACTTGGTTGGGGGGAGTGAGCACTCTCGGTGCTTCAGCTGCAGGAAGAAGTCAAATATTTTTCAAATCTGCACTTTCTGTCTCAAGTATCGCTCACTAAGCTTGTAAATTTGACCATAAACTTAAACCCTGACATTGTCTTTTCAAGTATAACTTATCACCCAAATATGTGACAACCTTTGCCAACGTCATCTTGATGCATTATCACAAGGTTTAAACTTGTACACTTCTTACTTATGAGTAAAAATGGCAAAAATCTATTATTTTGGCATATAGTAGACTTGTAGCATGTCTAATATTAGCCAGGATATTACCAGGTCAAAATTGACTGATGAAAACTATATTGCAACACTATAATATAGAATATGACTACTTATGTGATATGATATATTTCCAGCTACATGTCTAACTCACCGAGAACACTGACGAACGCGTTGGCCATCAGGTAGCCAAACTCATTGGATGCGTTGCACTGGTAGACGGCGCTGGATCCTGACTGCACATTACTGAGAATCACAGTGTCGTCATCCACCTTGCGAGTGTGGTCCTCAGGAGCATCTAGCACAAGACCAGAGACAGAACACATTGAAACCTGCACATAGGAACATTTATTCAAACCTTAAAGCAAAAGAGGATTCGTCATTTTTCTCACTTTCTATGGGGACTCCGTTGACAAACCAGCTGATTTTAGGTTTGGGTTCTCCACTGACGCGGCAGGTCAGGATGCCGGTCTCATTCGGGGCGAGTACCAGGTTCCTGGGAGCGCTGACCCAGAAAGGAGCCGCTGGGGACAAACAAGAACAAAATCACAGAGAGATGTACTTCATTTTGGGATGAAGAAATAGTTGCATCTAGATAAAAGTTAAATTTCTTCCTCTTTGCAATTGCAGCAATCCCACTCTCAATCTTCATCAAACTTCAATTTACATATCAAATTGTCATTTGATCAACAGAAACCTTTTGCAACATTCTTTAATTCCAGCTTCTCATTTGAAAATTCACATGTTGAACCTTGTTAGGCCCTATGATTTGTGAATATGGTCTATAAAAGGCTGATGTAAGAACTTGAAGCATAAAAGGTTTTACTTTAAATATTGTTTTAATGAGGAATAAAATGAGCACTTGATTGCATGGTGGTCAATCTTCATACCTTTGACAGTGACCTTGATGATGTGGTGTACGGTGCCCAGGTTGTTTGCGGCCGTACAGCGGTAGTTGCCTCCATCTGCTTCATTCACGTCAGAAATCTTCAGCGTTTTCTTGAAGTTCTCAAAGGACGTCCTGCTGCTCGGCAGCTCACCTCCGTCCTTCTGCCACGACATCTCTGGAGTGGGCCTGTTATAGGAGCCATTACAAATCAGTTGCATTAGATACATTTGTTCATCTAATGCAACTATGCATTCTGTTTTTTCAGTTAAATATAGGTATTGGCCTTTTTCTGAAGCTCATTGATGTGTAACATATTGAAAACTATAATTACTGCCCCACGACTGTATGCCTCTGCAGACAAGTGCAGTTTCAGTCTACATACAAACATTTGTATGTCTTGAAAATTCCCTCATGGTGTTATGAGATTTTTTTATTTAACCAGACTGGTTATGAATGGAATGGACCTGAAAATGTAATGTAATACAGTAAACACCCTGAATCTGAGAAATTGACAAATTGCTGCAGAACTTACAAGCCCTCTGCGATGCACTCCAGCTCCAGAGTCTCTCCTCTCAAGACCATCTTGGTACTGGTGGGGCCCAGAGGCATCATGAACCCTGGACGGCGCACCCCCTCTGGGCTGTCTTAACACACGAGCACACAGGACCAAATCAGAACCAGGCCGCAATATGAGGACTTTAAGTTTGAGGTCCCCGAGAGGAGTTCAGGTCAGGGGTAAAGAACAGAGGGATGGAGTCAAATATACAGTTTATCAAGTGATTTGTCTGAGAAGAGAGAAGGGATAGAAAATGGGTGACTGATAAATAGACACAATGTAATGCCTCATCACATACAGCATGAGCCCTGCAGCCACATTCCTCAAAACGGTTTTAGATTTCCTTATCTGGGCTCAGAAAAAAGAATGGGCCTCTGCTGCTGTAGAACGTGGAGGTATACTGCTGTTAAAATAATGTGACATATGCAGCAGCCATCTTGGATTATCACTGAGGGCGAGCTTGATGAGATCGGCGTGTGTGTCTGTTGCCAGGGAGATGCAGTTAGCTGATATTTAATGCCATGCAGCTTTAAAGGCAGCTCAGAGCTTTGTTAGGACACAGGCAAATAATGGATGCTGTTGCATTTGTATATTGTATCATGCGTTGTAGTCAGTTTTATTTATGTCAAATCACATTTTTTGACACTTTCATTTAAAGCAAAAATATCTAGCCAGTGTAATATTTATTTAACACTACTTAAACTTTACGTAAAAGATGTTTTTACTTTCCTGAATCCACATTATCACCTTCTAATTAATGGTAGTTGCAGGTTTCTAGTCCTACAATGTCTTTAAAAAAAAGGACTACCTATCCCAATAAAAATATTGAAATCTGCTATGATCGTGATTTCTATTTGAAGCTGCATTTAACTGGACACTCGTACAGATCTGTCAGCCCACGAAAATCTCAATCAGCATTATTCCTCAAAGATTTGTGTTTTAAAATCGTGAAAAGAAAAAGGTTTTAAGAAAATCACTTCAGTAGTTTTTATGTGATCCTGCAGACAGACATAGAATGAGAACATAACCTGGTGCAGGAAACAAACAAACCAACATACGGAGGACAAGTATATGTCAAAATATAACCATAGAGGAGGGGGGAGAGTCCGAGTTAGGGTGAGTGTGCAGTTATGCCAAAGGGTAAAAACAGGGCTGGGTTCACACTGAAGGGGCTGATGGGAATTCAGCAGCACTCACCACTATAGAACTCAGTGATATTGTATAAAGCAGCCACAGTCTCATTCATTGTTTCCACTGTAATAAATCAAAAAATTGTGAACATGCAAACCTAGGAAACAAACAGGCAGTGCTTTACTTGACAATTGCTTTCCCCTTCGTGTTTATACAAATACATTAGCTTGTGAAAATGCATTTGTATAAATACTTTATATATAATATGCAGTTACGTCATAGTGACACTGTAATCAAATATTTCTACTCATGGCTCAGGATAGCCAGAGCAAAGGAGGAACAATACAAATTCAGACAATTTAGTGTGAGAAACAAAAACAAGTTCCTATTTAAACATGGAATTAGTGACAACAAACTGAATTGAAAGATTTACAATTAGGGGAAAAAAAACTGTCAGAACTAAAAGGCAGAGGTTTATTCGAGTGTCTGGCCTTACTGTCGAGCACGGTGACAGAGATGGGCTGTTTCTGCTGGATCGTCTGCGTGTGGGGGAAGCGGGCGTAGCAGATGTAGTCGCTCCTGGTGTCTTCTCGGAGAACGTTGGAAAAGTACAAATCGCCATTCAGAGCCTGGGACACTCGTTGGTCCAGCTGCAGCTTCTGAAAATCTAAAAGACGAGGGAAGAGAGTGTGAGAAGTGGAAATGATAAACAATTTATTATATTTAAACAAGATTCAGAAAATGGTTTCTGGGAACCTTTAGACTATTTTCTATTAAATCTATACACACATATATACGCACACAGTTAAAGTCACAGTTAAAAAGTGGTCATACACAATATAATAGATGTACATATGTAATCCTTAGGTTTTTACATGGTGAGTGCAGAAGACTCACTGTTATCCATCCAGAAGATGACAGGAGGGGGCAGCCCAGCAGGGGGCCGGCACTGCAGCACCAGGGAGACCCCCATCTGCACAGTGATGGCTTCATTTCTCTCCTTTGACCACAGGGGGGACCCTGTGAGTCACAAACATTTTTCATTTTGATCACATTTTTTTACACAACTTCTTATAACTAATAAACGCTGGAAGTCTAAATAGTGATTCATCACACGGTCAATTAGTTATTTGAAGAAAAATAAGATTGGAAATAATGTAATCAAATATGATGAAGTTTTACTGGACTGTCTGATGACGATGTTGTTGGATACAGCGGTGCCATGCTCATTATGGGCTGTGCACTGATATGTTCCCTCGTAAGCCTCGGCCTTTTCGCCACTGATGTCGATGACGAGAGTTCCTGAACCGGGCTTCATCAGGACTTTGGAGTCTTTCTCGACATCGAAGTGTGTGCCGTTTCTTGTCCAGGAGAAGCTAACACCGAGCAGAACGACAAATAATCATATCATCATTGATCATTATCCCCAAGAATAATCCAAAATTAAAAAATGAGAAAAGATACAAAATAAAATATATAAAAGAAACTATACAGGCTCCTAGCAGCTATTTTTAAGGAAACATAAACTGATTTTATGGCAGGACTTTGTCTGATTGTAACTGATTTAATTCAGAGACTGGCGGCAAATTCAAACTGTGGCTAATTCACTCTGCCAGGTATCTCTCAAGCAACTGAGCTCCATGACAACGGTTGCTATGATGATCTATATTTCCGCACCGCTCCAGGTGTAGTTGCCCTCAGGAAACAGATCTATAATTTCTCAGAGGTAGCATGAAAATGTTTGCTCCCGACTTCTGACTCAGTTTATACTTTGAATATATTTTTTAGTTTTTTCATGTTTCAGGAGCTGTCGGCCCTCGATTACGCTGTCGGAGAAGAAATCAATGTACTATGCTAATGTAGTTAACTGACACAGACGTCCACATACGTTTTTGACCTTCTGCATGTGTTCTGATAACCACACACAAAGTGGTCGTCTCACCTGGGATTCGGCTTCCCCTTGGCCTCACAGTGGATGACGATGTTCTCCCGTGGATCAAAGATATAATCCTTCGGGGACTGTAGTGTTATAGTGGGGGGTTGGGGCACTGGAGAAACATGCATAGAAGCAAATGTCACACAAGGTTCGTTTGAACATGGCACACAGGAATTTTGCATATTCGAGCGAGCAACAATCACATTCCACAGAGTCATCTGAAACTGAAACACTCACTGCAAAAAAAACCACAAAACATTTCTAACCCCCGATCTAAAGAAAGACAACTTACTCCAAAACAAGCATGTGGCAACAGAAAACTGCATGCACATCTAAATACTCATCCATCCCACACAAAAAGCAAAAACTCCACACTAGAAGTCAACAGCCAACTTACATCCTTCAAGTACTTTGGCTTTTTAGTCCATCGTGACACGCCGTACCACAGTGGTAGAATATTGAGGAAAAGGTGTTAGTTTTTGTGGAGGAGGTCAAAAAACAGTAGGTTCAGGTACTTATTAAGCATTCCATTGAGCCTGCCTGACGTGTGCGACAGGTGCAAGAACTGCAAGAAAAGTAGCTGAAACTTCAAAGTAAACAGAGTTCGTCCAAAGTTTAATTGCATTTCTTTACTAGAAAAAACCCAAACCCATGCAACATGCAGAAAGGTAATGTCTAAAGCCACAGAAGCTAAAATTCATTGTGCCCCCACAAAATGAGTGTTAAGCATAATGTCTGCATCCCTGAAAGTTAATTGAAGGAAGTGAAATACCTTGTCTTATATTAGAGATTAATTATGGCCGTGGTGAGGACCATACTTACGATCAAGAGGCACTTCTAGTGCTGAAGTCACGTGACTCAAGAGTACCAATAGCATTGCTCCAAAGCCAGGCACCCACTTCATGTTTCTGTCCGTGGTTGGATCCATCGTGGTGAAGACCTTATTTTCAGCAGGTACGGTCGTCAACAGGGTGAAGACGTCTGCAAAACAATAAAAAACATGGTGGTGAAACCTCGGCTCCACAAAAATAATACAATGACAAAGATAAGAGAGGCAAAAGCTTCGAGAGATGACTAAGGTGTCTGTGAGAATAAACTTCTTGAAATCAAAGTTCAGCGGCTTCGCAAAACAGCTTCTACTGGAAATCCAGGTGAATGTTTTTGAGGGCCATTGTAACTGTTGAATTTTAATATTTTTAAGCCAGATACATTTTCTGTTTCTCTGTCTGAATTAGGTTGCATCTCCAGAGAAGCAGTGTTGGATTAATTGCTCTCGGGTTAAATAAAAATCTAGTATCATCAGGTAACACAGATAGTGATAATGTACAATTAGCTGCCATGTGTAAATGTCGAGATTTCCATATTTCAACAGCCATCACATTAAGGACCATAAACTGCTCAGACATTCACGTAGGAAATTCATCCCTGCCCTCGATTTGCATAATCTTGCACTATAAAACACTCATTCATACCTGTTCGTTTCACGGTCAGAAAAAATGTAGTCTTTGAGGCCCAGTTAGTGGATTTACTATCATGAAAGGCAATTCCATGAGGTTGCACTGTGCAGTGAGTGCGGAGGAAGATATTTGTCTGGCAGCAATGATGGTGTCACAGAAGCACAATTACACACACAGCCTAAAATTTGTCCCAGAGCTAAATGTGAAACAATCATTTCCCTACTTGTAGAACACAGATAAAAAAAAATCAAGAACAAAACAGAAATGATGATGACACAGGAGGATGAGTGGGATGACTTTGGCTAGTGGGCAGGACATCTCTCATCCTTCTCGTTCTTCTTCTAACTGACTCAGGGGTCAAAGCCCAGAGGTCAAAGAGTCGCCCTGCTGCTCTAATGGAGTCGGATAATAACTCCAGTCTTCTTTATCTCACTTCCTGCCTATCTTAATCAATTTCACTTCAGCTTTGTGATTCGTCCTCAAACCAAATCTGACTGTCACACTGATCATGTTTTTGAGCATCTAGAGTAATTGACACAAATCTTCTGCAGAGCGATCGAGGAGGTTTTCAGTGTTTAATGCATTTTAATGCATCATAATGACAGTGTGAGTTTGCAATCACATACTCAGTCTTCATCAATTCCATATAAAAAGCCTTAACACCGCTGCACACTGCTAATATAAAGGCACCTATGAAATTAATTCAGAGTGCAGGTGGACTGACCCGACCACTCAACCCTTGAGGGGCTATTAAACCAATCAAACCTTGAAATGCTTATATTTCATTGTACTGTGAGAGTGAGACTGTGTCAGTGTTTTTGTCAAACAAAACCACAGCTTTGTAAAGGTGCTGTCTTTGGGCACATATTGTTACTTTGAAACTAATGTTCTGTATGAAAATTTGCTGTTATCTCATGCATACAGCAGCTTTTTACATGTTAACATACAATATGTGACTTCAGCCTCTCAATCAAAACAATAAACAGAGTGACGCAAAGTTCACAGACACAATCTTAAGAGTTCTCCTTTCTCTCAGTTTGCACACCCTGCAGCGGCGTGCTAAGTTGGTCACTCCACAGCCTTGAGTCACACTGACGGATGACAGCGAGGGACGAGGCAGGAAGAGAATGAGGGGGAGGGATGTAAACTGTCATCTGCAGTCACATCAAATCACAGTGACAGAGGTTTCTGAGACAATAGACTGAGCAGGACTCGATTTCAGCTCGACCGGACTGGAGTGTACGCTGTCTTGCATCTCGGCACACACATATCGCTATTTATGCATAAAAAAGCCACACTGACTTACTGTGCAAGTTGTAAAATAAAATTTAGCAACTACACTTTCTTTGCAGGTTACTCTAATTAAGAGCAACATGCACCATGACACACTGATCTCCAGTTGTCTTCTTGCAATTTGAGCGTCTCCGGTAACCAGGTCACTAGAATAGGAGCTCTGAGCCATGAGAGTTCCCACGAACGCACGGAAAGGAGCTGCAGCCTAAATGCGAAGCCACTGGAACGACCGCTTGCTCTGCTGACATTTGAGGAGGCCAACTTTACACATTTTTTGTTCCGCTGTGGCTTTTCAACAGAGAGGAATCTGCACAATGAAATGATAGTTGAAACAAAAAGCCCAGGAAGCTGAAACTGAACTCAGCAGTAAACCAAAACCAAAACCTGAAAATACTGAGTGAAGGCCACACACACAGACCACTGCAGATATGACACCTAACAATAACCTCAAATGACCTCAGTATCTTTCTCAAGAAGACTTCACTGTTAAACCACTGTAGCTTCTGACTTTAAATGTTGTTGCTGGGCCAGTAAGTTTATGTCATATGTCAACATACTGATGAAAGCCGTAAGAGTTGAACCAATATGGTCAAGTTGCTGTCCAATATAATAACAATGAAGTTCTGAAGATCTGAAAGAAACCTGAACGTTGAGCTCTTCACTATTAAGACATTCACTGAAGATTGACACTGACATTGTCTTTTCTGGAGCTTTTCCTGCCTACCCTTGAAAAAAATGTCCACGTCAACTCATGTGAGAATACAGCAGAATTCACAGTGAGTGAGTAGGCATGTAGCAACGGATGGGAAACTGAAAGAATAAAAATACCAGACAGTTATTATGTCCCACTCCTCCGTGTAAACACCTGGAGAAAGGGCCCTGACCCTGAGCGCTAAACTCCAACCTCTTCTCTTACCCTTTGTCTATGAATCTGTCCACTTGATAACTTTATTGGCCGACTGCTCTGTCTCCTCTTCCTCTTATCTCTCCCTCTCCCTGTGTGTGGCCAGTCTGAGATGAACAAAGCCCATTGTAAGGTGAGAAAAAGGCCCTACATCTTAGGGGCAAAGCCTTGACTGCACTTTTTGAAGAGGACGGAAAACTAAGAGTTTGAATTGCCTCACTAATCCACTGTGATAGATGATGAGCTATTCACACCGGTTTCATATCTTTGTACAGAGTTAAGTATTATTTACTTAAGGACAACTATGCTGCAGACAATAGGAGGATAATGTTGCACTTTTCATTACCTTCGAAGGGAAGGAGACACATTATATGAGGAACAGGAATAAAGCGTACACTCAAAGTGTAAAGTGAATCTATGCAGGGTGTAAGGTACAAAAAAAAAAGACAATAGCTCTAGAATGGATGAGGTAAAAGCATACTTGTGTTACTTTTGATATATCCAGAGATATGTTACACAACATTCCAGGCCAAGAAACAGTTTGACTATTGCTGTTGAGCACTCCAGCCTGCATTTCCTGTCCAAGTTTCCTTGTGAAAATTGGAACCAGCAACTCTCCAGCCATGAGTTATAACTGCTTAATTTTAGAGTGCCTCATGATTTAACTGCTGACTACATCAGAAGCTGCGCACTAAATTGGAAGTTATTATAAGAGGAGCTTTTCTCTACACTAACACCACTTCTTTGCAGGGAAAATACAGCACTGGCAGCCTCTTTGTCTCCAATAGCCCCCAAACCGGATCACACACAGCCACCTAATCAAAACAAACCATCTAAGCCTCTTTTTGCTCGCACATGTACACACACGGGGCTTTCCCATTTCGGGATCGGTTTTTCTCGCACCATCCGCAGAATCCCCCAGTGCATGCTTTTCTCTGAGGCTTTGTGAAGTGCTGATAGTCAGCATGCGCCCAGGGCAGTCGCATCTCTACAACCACCCAATGGGGGCCATTGTCCATGTTGTTTACCACTGGGATAATGCTGAAACGGCAGGGGTGTTCTACACAAGGTGACACGTCTGATGATAAAAGATGCAACAACAGTTCGCCTTGGTATAGCTCTAGACTGCATCAGTGCTTAGTAATGTAGAAAAGCAAAGTGGGAAAGTTTGTTTTTGAAATTCCGTGCATTTCTAACTGATTTTATTTCTTCCAAGAGCAATAGTCAAAAGAAAGTGTCATCTGCATAAGTGCATTCATTTCCAACCAACTCAACATTGAACCCCCCTGCAGTGAATTCCCATGCTTCTCCAAGCACTCGTAAATTATATTGATATTAATACCTTGATGCTGATATAGCTTATTGTCATTTCCTCTTCTCCTTTTTCCTTTATCCCTATACAGGGAAAGTGAGCATCCCTGCCTTTATCTGAAGTGAATGTTAACAGCTTTGCTCCAGGCACAATCGAGTAGCAGAGCGAGTCTCTCTCAGAAGGTGAGAAAGCGTGAAGGGGGGTACCTCTGTCTGAGAAGTCACACCTGCTGCCTCTAAAGGACTACTGACACAAACTGTTGGTCAGAAAAGATGGTGAAGATGGATTATGTCAAATATGGGTAGAGAACATTTGATAAAATTCAGCGATTCAAATTGTTAATTCAGTTTGTGCTAAAGCCTTCAAGAGAACACAATTACACAGGAGCAGCTACTATCACTCAAAAACACAGCACTGGGATCAGCCGTGTGTAACTCATCAGAAGCCATTACTGATAGCTGCCATTAAAACTTGCTTCATCTGGCGTCCAACTATTAAGCTGTGATATTTGGAAAATTGCACACATTTCGCCAGGCGTATGGCCTGGCCTGTTTTCTGCCGGGGGCTTGACTGGGTGTTGGGTGTGTGCCCATGTATGTGCACATGAATGTTTGTGTGTATGTGTGTGTGTGTGTGTGTAGCTGCATGCCTCGCCTGTCTAAGGCCATCTCATCAAAAGCTCTGGGCTCAGCCAGAGAAGAGGGACATGCTGGTTAAATCCATATGGGCATGTGTTTCTGTGTGGCTGCATTTCTGCAAATGTGGAAGAAAAATTAAAGGAAAACAAAGACGTCTGTTAACAATATCTGGATGTAACAAAGGAGACTGGTGGTCAATCATTTCAAAGCATACACACATATATATATATATTTATATATATATATGAAAAAAACAGAACTGAGCAATCTTTAATATCAGCTCCTCTCCCACGGTCATTATTTCTCCATTGCCTTATATCTATCCAGTTGTTTTCTATGGTTACTTCCAAACCCTTCGTCCAATTACTGCATTTATTTTTCCCTGTGCTGAGCTCTTGCTGCTCTAAAGGCTAATTTATGCTCAACGTTAAGTACGTACACTGACTTAGACACA